CTGCGGTCTACCTGCGCTGCGCGAATCCCCGACTCACGCACTGAAATCTAGATAAGAAAGAAGGTTTTATTCCGAGGTCCTTGAGATTAGGCAAGTCAATTAGTCAAAATGTCTTGCATATGTGTTGTATTTAAGTGTAAGAACCGATATGATGCTGCAGTGGACCGAAGTTTTCACAGCTAAGTTGTTTTCCTTTTAAAAAATTTGAATGGAAGTGTTTTTATACCCCCAGCAACACAATTTAGATCATTAACATTCATAAGAGGCTGGCTCCGGCGCTACCTGCCAAGGCCAACCCAGGCTGAAAGGGATACAATACCTGCGCAGAAAGACCGAGATACTCAATTTTTAAAAAGTATTCTTATATATATATATATATATATTTATATATGTGTGTGTATGTATATACATATATATATATATATATATATATATATATAATTATTATGTGTGTGTATGTAGCCTATATACATATTATACATTTATATTGTTTTCCATTGTGTGTGCAAATTAGATGCTACTGTTGTCTAAATGTAGATATCTGGAGGCTCCATTAGAATATGAAATCAATACTCAACAACAATAATGATGAATATTTTCTATGTTAAAGAAACACCAAACCATATCAGATGAGGGGAGAGGGTAGGGTGGGGTGGATAAGAGTTTGAGTCTTGTTAGATAGAACTATACATGTACTCGGTTTAATTCTATTGTTGTAGTCTTCACCTAAGATCCCACAATCAATAATTCCGGTTCACTTAAGATTCTGCTGTTAAAAAATAAACCAAACAAAGCAACATTAAATTTTAATACACAAGAGTCTTCACTGAGATAAATTACCCCCCCCCCCCCCCGGAGTGTAATGAGGGACTAAAAACGCTGCTCTCCATATCATACTTTACTGAACAAACAAAAAAAAAAAGAATACCTTCAAAGGTCATCCACGCTCATGCATGCGATCACACCTCAAAAGGTGCTGTTATCTCTTTTTTTTTTTTTTTTTTTGAAATCATTGTGCGCTCTACTTTGTGAAAACCAGGAAACAAAATTATTGTAATCAATAATATTATTTATAGACCAAGACTTACTGTAGCAATCAGATAAAGCTGGCAACGACCCTCTGTTGTGTTCGCTATTCCTTACACATAAAGTTAGTTATGGCACACGCCTAGAATCATGCAATCATAATATCTTAAATTCAGTTTTAAAGTATATTTTTATCCATTTCTATTATTAGATATTTTGGCATCTTGAAAGGTTATCTTTATAATTTGGTATGTTTGATAATTTTATGTTACTTGAACAAGTTTTCTTCTTATTTTACACATCTTTCTGATTTTTAAACTAGATTATAACATAAAACTTTTAAAGAATTGAACAGTCCGTATCACACACAGAATCTTTTTTTTTCTCCCTGTCATTATCCGTCAGCCCGTCAGTTGATCACAATCTCTCTCTCTCTCTCTCTCTCTCTCTCTCTCTCTCTCTCTCTCTCTCTCTTTTATTTAATTTTTTCCATTCTCCTTCGTCCCTTCCCAAGGCCCGCCCCTCCTCTTTCATCCCTGCTCCATCCCCTCTGCCTTGCGTGCATTCCCCCACCCCGCCCACCCCCACAACGTGGCCCAGCCCCGATAAGATTCTATAAAAAGAAACGCCACAGTTCGAGTTTTAACCCACACTCGGCGGCCATATTTGATCCCCACCGCGGCGTACTGCTCGCGGCGCCGCGAAGAGAGAG